ATTTATTTATTTATTTTTAATTCAAATGTTCATATTCAAGTGTTCTTCAAAAAATTGATGAATTATACTTCTATGTGTACTTCTCTAAATGAAGCAGAACTTGAATAAATGTAAGTTATATAAATGCCAGTTCATGTGGAAGTTTGTAAATGTTATAGTAACAATGTTTTGCATATACTTGGATTCTTTCACACGCATATTTAATAACATTGGTAGGAATAGATAAGCAATAATACTAGATGGTGCATAGTGGATATGGTTCTGGTGACCGAAACAAGGTTGGAGAGGGCATGCTAGATTTTATTAAAAATAACTTTCTATGGCATTAAAAATTATATAATGACCTTCTATGACATATAAAATTATATCATGACCTTCTATGACATATAAAATTATATCATGAAAAGTGTAATGATTTATAACATGCAAGAAAATGCCGTAAAGATTATATACGACATACAAAATATGCCAGAAATATATTAAAAATAACCTTCTACGGCATACAAAATTATGTCGTGAAAAGTGTAATGACCTTCTACAGCTTCGCAAACAGGTTCGTTTTTGTTTCTGTCCCAATCTTTTTAGTCTTCTTTTTTAGGATATTAAAATCTCAATTTATTTGAGTTTATTGATTTTTTCTCAAATTTTTCTAGGTTTGTGTCCTTCAATCTTAAAACATCAATTTCTCGATATCTTTTTCATAATTTGATTTTGAGGTGAGTTCATTTTGTGTGCTAGGTTTTGATTGTTCTGTAGAAAAATGTAGATGAGGCAGTGGAAAAGCTTAAATCAAGAGGAATTGAAGTCTTTGAAGTGGTTTGTCATATGTTTGTAGCTCAACAAAAGAAGAATCTGGTAGAAAGACTGTTCAGGTGAGCAAACCCATCTTATTCGTTATCTTTTGAGAGTAGCTAAACAAAGAGAAAAATGGAAACCTGGGCTTTAAGAGAGATGAAAATTGATGAACTATTTTGAGATACAGAGAGGTTAGTTTCTAATTGCTAAACCATTTGGTGAAAATTGATGAAAATTGTTGAACCATTTGGCGAGATGACCCTTTTTTTAGAGAACAAAATAAAGAGATAGAACTTTAATTTCTATGTTGTTTAATTTGTATATAAATATTCACTCAGTTTGTTATCCTACCATACAATATAACATGCCATGTATAAGACACAAAACAATGTACATACTATCAACCATGCTTCCATAGGAATTTAATTTAATATTCACTTAGTTTGTTATCCTTTCTATTGTTATACTTTCTTAATGTGGACACTGATACATGTTTAAGAATGTAGGATTAGGTGTAATATAAGTTTCGCAATGGATTACGAGATTTGTCATGTCATCAAAAAATAAGAAATTTTTTTACCATATTTGTCATGCCCATCAGTTTCGATATGGACTACCAAATTTGTTCTCGAATGTGGGAGATTTTTTCCCCTGCATGTAGATAAGTGGATATTGACCCAAGGGTACAACAAGATAGATGATTTGATGCTCATGAATTTTCTTTGTTATGTTTCATGTTTTTATTGGTTTAAATGCATTCGTAATTTCTAAAGAATGGGCAAATTTTGCCTCTGAATTAATTTGTGTTTTCATTTTTCAGGTCAGAAATTATTTGAAGAGATGCAAAATATGGTCAAAGAATTCAAGAACTTTGTACTTCAAGTTTTTTGATTTTTTTAATATATATAATCACAGTTATTTTTTTTTTATTAATTCACTTGCATATACTTTTGAATATTCAACTTTCATTTATGAAACATACGACGTTATTCCATTTAATATGTAGTTGTGATTCAAATGATAGTGTATATATATATATATATATATATTGTGTATTACATTTTTCAAATGCGTACAAAAATAATATTGATTATTCTTCAAATATGTCGAACCTTTTTTTTATCACACGCATTAACTGTGACGAGAAATGTATACAACGTGTGATCTTATCTCATTATTAATCACATGTTTTATTAGTTATACATCACACATAAAAAGTGTAATTTAAATGTTTATTATTACACGTAAAAAGTGTGATATAAATGTTTATTATCACACATAAAAAGCATGATCTAAATATTTATTATCACCATTTTTAATCACACTTCAAAATATTACACTTTGACAAAACTTAAAACACATGATTAAATAACATATATCACTCATAAAAAGTGTGATCTATTTATGATTTTGTAGTAATTACAAAAGTATATTTTTTTTTATCTTTTTTAAATCACATCATCTTTTTTTTTTCACAACTTTTTGTAAAAAAATTAAAAAATATATTTATTTAGATCATCCCATATATTCTCTAAGAGAATTGTTTGGATATCGATAGGGTACATATCACGTGGTATCTTTTTTTATTGTGATTAGGTTTAACGATAAGACTCATTATATTTATATTGAGTGTTTCAAAGAAAGTAGGGATATGTGCATTTGTAATTGGTGGAAGATACCACTTTGCTTGGCAGTGCCACGTGATACTCTCCTAGTATATAAAAATTTCTCACGTCTCGTTTGAAAATTTAATTATTTTAGTTAGCTTTTTAATTTTTTGGCTATTTTATTAAATACAAAAAAATATATTTGGAATGATTTGTTATATTTTTTTTTATTTTTATAGTTGAATAGATACTCCATCCGTTCCAAAATATTAGTCATTTATTTCATTTTTCAATGTTCCAAAATATTATTCTATTTTCAAAAATCAAGTACAAAAATAATATAAATTTCTTATTTTGTCCTTCATTTAAATTTATTAACAACATGAAAAGTACAATTATAACATTGATATTCTCCAAAAAAATGTACTTTCAAAGGATAATTTGGAAAAATCAAATTTTTTAAAGTACAATAATTATACTATCAAAAAAAGTTGAATTCCTCAAAATGGACCATTATTTTGAGACGGAGAGAGTAGTTGTATGAAAAAATAATTGATTGATGTGCAGAATATAATATTTCATCCTATTTATTATTTTAATATTTTTTGAATCTTTATTAATTATTTTAATAAAAAACTGTTGCTAAATGGAGCCTCAATTTTAAGATCTTCGTCACGATGGGTGGTTTGTGATGTTTTAAATAAGTGTATTTTTTAATTTTTTATAAAAAAAATATATAGAAAAGTAAAAAAAAAAATGGAAAGAAAAGTAAGGAACAGATGTTGATAGATATTAATTGATGTGACTCAAATATATATATATATATATATATGCAAAAAAATGAACTTTTTTAGTGCATACCAAACACCTACTAACTACTACATTCTTATAAATCTTATTGGTTAAACAAACAATATCATGGTGATGATACAGGTTTCAGTTTGTGCTAATTATTTTGGTTAAATTAGTTAGAGCATCTCTAACGATGAACCAAACCTGGCATTAGATTTAAATTTTGGTGAAAAAACCACTTTTTGGAGCTCCAATGATTTCAACAAATTGGTATCAAAATAAGAATTCATCAAAAAATTCATCAAAGTGAGAACAGAGTACAGATTTCACTACTTTACTGTGCATGACCGTTGGAGGAGACCAATCGGTTAACCAGCCGGTTGACCAACCGGTCGATCGGTTCCCTTTCAAATAGGTAGGTTCAAACCGGAAAAAGGTTCAAACTGGTAAAAAAATAAAAATAAAAATTTGCCTTACCGATCGACCCTCCCCTTTTGAAGCACGGTTGGAGGAAGAAATATCAGATTGAGAAAATTAGCTTTTTTTTACTTAAATTTGGTGAAAATTTTGGTTCACCGTTGGAGATGGTCTTAATAAAGATAAAATAGATTAATTTAATTAATTAAAAATATCATATTTAAAATTATAATTTTTTTTTCTCATCATCATCAAATTAATTGCTAATAAAAATAAAAATTTATCTTAGGGTGAATTACACTAATAATCCCTATAGTTTGGGACTTGTATCACTTTAATTCCTAACTTTTTAATTGTTACACATTTGACTTTGAATTTTGAATCTTATTTCAAATAAGAATAATTGAAGATATCATTAGATTTTTTAAGAGTAAAATCGTCAATTTGATAAAATATAAACTAATTTGACAAAAATAAATGTCAAATAAATATTTTTGAATTTTTAAAAATTATTTCTACCCACTAAAAATAAAATTATGTAAAATTGATAAATCTTTTAAACATTTATTTTTTTTTACCAAATTAATTTTCATTATGTGTTTGGATGATGATCATGTAAAATTAACTTTCAAAAATTAATCATGTAATTTTTATTAATTTTTATCAATTTTACATAATTTTATCATTGGTGGATAAAAATAAATTTTAAAAAACTAAAAATATTTTTTTGACATTTATTTTTTGTTAAATTAGTTTATATTTTATTAAATTGACGATTTTACCCTTAAAAGTAAATAATAGTATCTTCAATTGTCCTTATTTGGAACAACATTCAAAATTCAATATATCACAATTAATAAATTAAAAATTAAAGTGACATGAATCCCAAACTATAAAGACTATTAATGTAATTTGCCTATATCTTAAACACAATTTTTTTAATCTTACTAATCATTTTTTTTTTTGTTTGTTACAGGGAAATCCTCCTACCCTCTCACAGGTCCAAGGCAGCACCCCACGAGGAGATCACCAGGGTGTCCTGTTGTCCGTTCCGAGTAAGAGACTATAACCTGGAAGCTTATCCCGACCTCCCAAGGCAAGTTTCGATTAAGTCAAGACTCGCACAGTGGGGGATACATTAAACCCACACCAAGTAACTGATTAGACATCCTTGAGGTCCAACCTCCTAATCAACAGCTCTTCGCCCAAAAAATTGGCCCAAGAAAAAAATTAAACTTATGACCTTGGGACTTAAACCCCAAGGCCTTACCACAATACCTCAAACCACAATCCCACAACCCTTGGTACTAAAATAGTAACTAAAAATCAAAAAAATAAGGTTAAATTACCCATTTAAACGACCGCATAGCGTATTTGATCATTCTGACACGGTCAGCTGCCGCGTCTCTGCTCATCAATAGGCAGCTCCACACTCTAATCCCCCCAAACCTCTCTCTCTCTCTCTCTGTCTCTCTCTCTAGGGAGATAGAGATAAAAATGCAAACTTCACCATTCAGCCATGGACGCTCCCACCACCACCACCACCACCACCAACTCCTCCTCCTCTGGGAAAGGTGGCGAATGACCTAGGCGGAGAAGCGTCTACGAATGGGTTCAATATCTCAGGCTTAGATATATATATATATATATCGAGAGAGAGAGAGAGAGAGAGTAGGAAAAGATGGGTCAGGGACTTAGTTGCACGGCGAGCCACGAACATGAGCTCTTCACTGCTGTTCAGTTCGGGGACTTGGAAACTGTTGAGACTCTCTTGGAGAGAGACCTAACTCTCATCCACCAAACCACAGTTTACGATCGCCACTCTTCTCTTCACATAGCAGCTGCCAATGGCCAGATCGATGTGGGTTCTTCGAATTTTGAAGTTTTTTATACACAATTTTGATGGGTTTTGAATTTTGATTGATGGGTTTGTTTGTCTGTGTTTGCCTTTGTTTCAGATTGTTACTCTGCTTTTGGATAGATCTGTTAATCCAGATTTGTTGAACCGTCACAAGCAGGTGAGCATTGCTTTAATGTTTGATGATGATTGGCTGCTGAGAAAATTATAGGGGAAGTTGAATGTTTTCTATTTATTTACCTTGAATTTCTAGTTAGTAGGCAGAATGTTAAATCTGGTTAGCTCGTATATGCTTGATTGATCTTGTGGGTTGCTTTGCTTGGTTTAAATTTCTCTTCTCACTTTGTTGACTTTCTTATTTTGGTAATTGAAAATGGCTTAGACACCACTGATGTTGGCTGCAATGCATGGGAAGATCTCTTGTGTGCAAAAGCTCATTCAAGCTGGAGCTAATGTATGTCAAATCTCTCTCCTTGTCTCTGTGTGTATTGTGTTTTTGTTTCTCTATCTACACAATCTAAGTATGAATCTATGCAGAGGAATGCTTCTAGTAATTTCTCAATCTTGTATGAACTTTCAAATCAGAATTGATTTTGGTGATGTTGAACATTTTGATCAGATTTTGATGTTTGATTCAATTCTTGGAAGAACCTGCTTGCACTATGCTGCTTACTATGGCCATTCTGATTGCCTTCAATCCATTCTCTCTTCTGCCAGTTCCTCCCATGTTGCTGTTTCTTGGTGGGTCTCTCTCTCTCTCTCTCTCTCTCTCTCTCTCGTTTTCTCGTTCTCTTTCTCTTTGCAGATTCATTAGGAGAATCCATAACTCTAAATTTCTATACATTGAATTGGGATTTCAGGGGATTTTCGCGTTTTGTAAATATCAGAGATGGTAAAGGAGCAACTCCATTGCACTTGGCAGCCCGTCAAAGGCGGCCTGAATGTGTCCATATTCTCTTAGACAATGGAGCTCTCGTGTGTGCTTCAACCGGGGGTTATGGGTATATTTCTATTAAAGATTTAATTGTGTTTCATTGTTGTGGTGTGAATTTTGTATCTGATTTGAATCATTTCTCTATAGATTCCCTGGAAGCACTCCCCTTCATTTGGCTGCTAGAGGGGGTTCTCTAGATTGCATTCGTGAACTGCTGGCATGGGGCGGTGATCGACTTCAAAGAGACTCATCTGGGTACTGCTCAATTTTCTTCTTGACTAATTTCAGATAATACACAGATTTAAAGATGGATTAGTGCTGGAAAATGTGTATTAAGTGTATGGAAGAGAAAACAAATATCGCAAACAAGCTATAGTTTCTGATTATTGAATCTTTGTTGTGTTAACAGACAGATTTGTTCCAATCTCATTGGAGAACACATTTTTTACTCCTTCATGCTGAGAATAATTTTTATTTGTTTATGATTAGATATGAAATTGGAATTTAAATGCCAAACATGATAAAATTTCATCTCCATGTCATGGAAGCCCACAAGGATAATCAACATCTTTTCAGCTGAAAATATAACTTAATATTCTTCAACCCTTCAGATAGATTTCCTAGATCTGTATTTGGGTCTGAAGCCTGAACTTAGGTGCAAAAGATGAAAATTTTCTGGACTTATCTATTTGTAACTTCATCTCATTTTCTTCTCTCTTAACTAAGATTTACTGAAAATCTGAAATTCAGCCTTCTGTTTTATCTTGGCGTTGTACAGGAGGATACCATACACCATTGCTCTAAAGTATAAGCATGGAGCATGTGCAGCATTGCTAAATCCGTCATCAGCTGGGCCTCTTATATGGCCATCACCTTTGAAGTTCATTAGCGAGCTTAATGCAGAAGCGAAAGCTTTGTTAGAACGAGCCCTAATGGAGGCAAACAGAGAAAGGGAGAAGAACATTTTGAAGGGAACAGATTACTCGCTCCCATCTCCATCACATTCCGATGCTGGAATGGGTGACAATGTGTCCGAGGTAACTTGCTTTTATGCCTTTACCAAACTTTACAATATTGGTTTTATATAATGGTGACAAATTGAAATCCTTTAGTGCTGAAATTCTCATAGATGTTGCAAAACTGAAACACAATGTTGAAATTTTCAAATTTGGTATCTTACTCTTAGAGTTTAGAGTCTTAGCTTTAGACATCCAAGTTGACCAGAAACGTTCAAATTAATGGATTTTTCCCATATCCTAACTCTAAGAAGCATGGACACGGACATGTGACATGACATGAGTACGATATGGACACGCTGATATGTTAATGTTCAAAAAATGCGGGACACGACACATGGAGGGCACGCATGAAATATATAATTTTATATATTTATTATATATTATATATATGAATATATCATTCAAAGATAATAAAAAATGCAATATGACACTAATTCCTATAAATTTATATGGTTTTTGTTTTGTTATTGTATCTTAAGTTATTTTGTTCAAACTTATAATTAGTTTCACATATGTCTAATCGTGTGTTCTCCAAGTGTCTAAAGAGTGTCCGAATCTTTAAAAAAAATTTAAAAATAGGACACTTTTTGAAGAGTGTCGGACACGTGTTCTGAGAGTGTCCACAGAGTGTCGGTGTCCGACACGGACACGACACGGATGCGTCATCTTCTTAAAAGTGTCAGTACTTCTTAGTCCTAACCTATGACGTGCACTGCTGGCCTTCCTGATATTTTTTTAAACTATTTATGACCTTTTATTTTATTTTATTTTTTTGTTTTTATTTTTATAAGAAGAATAAAAATAAAATCAAAGAGTGTGCTGATGTTGGGTCAAAAAGGAATAAAAAATATTCTATGCTTTCTCAACATTTTATTGGCTAGGCAATTCAACTTGAGCCAGTCACATTTGTTAACTTGACACCAACTGGATTGGTGTACTTCATCAAATTGCCATTTGTAGAGAACAAATGAGTTATAACACAAAAAAATTTAAGAGAAGTTATATTTAGTCATGTACTACAAATGATTATATGTTTTGTTATGAGATATCTTGTATTTACTGTACAGTCAAGAGTACTGTAAGGGGTCGTTTATGAATGCGGAGGGCCAAGGCCCTAGGATTACATAGTATATATTGTAATTTTCGGGTAGAGTTTCATAGAGAGCTGTGTTGAGAGGTTAAAAGTCTTCTTGTAATCCTTATTGAGTATAGTACGTAGATTTTGTTTTCTCTGCGTTGAGAGTAGGCATCCCGCCGAACCACTTACGTCTTGTGTTCCGTGTGTGCCTGTTCTTTTATTTACTAATTTATTGTGTGATTGAAACCATGATATTGCACAACTTGTTTAGATACCACAACTCTGTTATGCCCGTCTACAAAGAGATGTAGCTTTTATGCATTGAACTAAGATAACAGAGATCATCACCAATCAATGAAACATTTACTCCAATGCAGGCCAGCGACACTGAGTTATGCTGCATATGCTTTGATCAAGTGTGCACAATCGAAGTGCAAGATTGCGGCCACCAAATGTGTGCGCAATGCACACTAGCATTGTGCTGCCACAACAAACCCAACCCAACAACGGCATGCCTTGCTGCACCAGTATGCCCTTTTTGCCGGAGCAGCATTGCTCAACTAGTGGTTGCCAAAGTCGAGACCAACCATGACATTGCCATCTCCAAGCTAAGAAGGTCGAGGAAGTTGAGGAACTTCAGCGAGGGAAGCAGCAGTTTCAAGGGCTTGTCGGCAGTTGGTTCGTTTGGCAATAAAACTGGTGGTGGCCGGGGCTCAGGGAGGATTGCTGCTGAGAATGAGTGGGCTGATAAGCCTTGATGCCCAGCAAAAATTAGGATTTGGGGATAGATCTCTATCTGCATTGTAGATTTTGGGAAGCTAATAAGCAAAGAAGTGATTTGCATGGGTTGGTGAGTATTGTTGTGCGGGTCTCATTGTTGTATTCTTGGTTTTTTATAGCTTGAAGAAAGCATATTTGGGTGCGTTGAGGGCCTGTTGGTTTCCTGGAACAGAAGAAAATAATTCTTCTTCGCATCCAATCCTCTTGTTGTGTTTTGGATTTTGGCTTGTGGATTTACTAGAAGATAAAGGATGAGAAAAACAAATCAAATAAAGACTACTCTTTTTTTCTTCTTCTTCATTTTTTTTTTTTTTTTTGGGATAAATTACAGACACCCTTGAGGTTTATTAAACTATTCAATAAGTTCTATAGATTTGGCTTAATTTACTGATTTCCTTTTTTATTAGAGTTAGATGGATCGGAATTAATACAGATGGTGTATACACATAAGAATATTCAATGATATCATTTTTTCATCTATGAAACTAACGAATGATTGTTAAAAAGAAGAAAGTGTTACATGAATTAAAAATTTAAAAGAACACGTTGAAATTATACTAAACTTATAAAGTTTCATATATTATCTTTAAATTTTAAAGAAATTAGTATAATTTTACCTTTGGATTATTGTTCACGAATGTGATCCAAATACAATTTTAGAGTCAAACAAATAGAGAGTTGGGTTGACCCCACCATGCCCTATTTCTATTTGTGAAAGAGAAAGGAGCATCATAGCATGGGACTCTGAGATGCATTACTAGGTTCAATATATATATAATTATATAATAATGATTTGTTGGTGTTACTTGGTTATGTGACAATGTCTGCACTGGTTTAATAATTTTGGGCAGAGTCGTTGATTTTTTGTCAATTATATACGCAGACAAGTGAGATGGGGGGTTAGCAGATGCAGGACAGAGATATACTATGATTTCAGACTTGATCTACACATGTGGATTTGGAAGTGGTGTGTGTGATCCCAAGTGAGTTTTGTATTGATTGGTAATTTGGACTATGAATATGTGAATTGAAATGTAATTCTTCATTTTTAATAATTGAAAGTGGTGTAAGAGATTCACAATTTTAGTTTTTTTGGTACATCAATTGAGAGGAGAATCCAACTCCTAATTTTATAATAAATTATACAAGTTTTGAAGTTCATTTAGTGTTTAAGAAATTCTAAGTAGTGTTTGTCAAGTGTATTGAAATAAAGGTGGAATGAGATGGAATAGTTTATTTATTTATTAATTTTTTTTTATAAAATGATCATTCACTTAAAATAATAAATAATAATTATATTTAATATTTATTTTAAAAAATCAAATGTAAAAATAAATTTTTTAATAAAATCATCATTCAATTTCATTCTATTCAACAAAGCCAACATTGTGTTAATGTGATACTCTCAATCTTATAGTGTTGGATTGAGTGAGGTAAATAAAATAGAGTTAATAAAGTGATTTTATAAAACTATAGGGTCATCCCATTCTAATATAAAATTGAGAGGGGAATTTGTGCCGAACAAATGGGTCGAGCAAAATCTGGTTTGGGCCCTGTTCTTGACCTAACAACGGGGCTGGAAAGACACTCAAGTGTTGGGCCGAGATGTCTAATCAGCTCGGACCAAGGGTGGAGTTCAATCAAACGGTAGCCTTGCTTTCGATCGGGCTAAAAGATGACCAATGATTTTGGTCGGGCAGTGGAGCCAGGCGGAATTTGCCTGGATGAACATAATACGACCGAGCTAAGAAGTAGTTAAGGTTAGAGACTCCGCCACGAGCAGGCTAACCGTGCCCGACCATGAGTGGAGGTCAGACAAGGTTGGCTTCGATGAGTTCACCTAGCTTGACTGAGCTGAAGGTGACCAGTTGGGCACCTCGGATCTAGGCCAGTTGGAAATAGCTAGTCTTGAAGGGTGGACAACATTGCACCGGGCCATGGACAGCTCAGCAGGAGTTGCTATGTGGCCCAATTGAAGTGTGAATGAGGGAACCCGCTCTCCGTATGCGTCAATATCGTTTAACTATTTTGTTGATACGGTTTGGCAGTATTGACGTACACATGTGTAAAGTGAAGAGGGAATAATACATCCATGTATCCAGGAAAGGACAAGCAAGGTAATGCGCTCACAAACTATATAAACCTTGTGGCGTCTCCATGCAACATGTCTGCGATCTTTCTTACATAGAGTTATTGTCTTTTGTCTTCTTCCTCTCTCTAAGGGTGCTAACTTAATCATTTGAGGGGTTTTTCGACAACACACCCATCGGGTAGCTCACCATCGCTGTGTTTTCAGATTTTACAATACCGTTTGGAGTAATGCAATATTTGGACGAAAGGAGTACAGAAACGAAGAATATTTGCTCCCCGTACAAAAACTAGTAATTAAAATCTAAAAAAATTTGGGGTTCATGAATTTATTAAATGAGCCTAAAAATTTAGTTTAAGTTGGTTTTTAGTCTAGCAAAACTCAATCAAGCATTAATTGATATTTTTAGAACGGTTTATGGACAGCTCTATTAATTTGTAATCTTATGTGTGGCGAATATTGGATAATTATTGGGTACTATTACAATATTATAGGATACTATTTATATAACAGTATGAATTAATGACCCAGTAAGAAATTTTGATGATAAGACATGATGATTTACGTTTATTAAGTAGTTGAAAGATAATGACTTAGGTGATGGTTGATAATCTAATTAGTATTTAAAGTTGAATATATTAAATAAAAATCAATTAAGTCCGTGTTTGATAATCATAAATAGTATCACTTATAAATTTAAGTGATTCTAAAAATGTAACTTAAAAAATTTAAGTAATAGAAAATTTATTTAATTCTAATTGAATTTATAAATATTTATATGTAAACATTAACATATACTGTTATAATTTCACAATCGCCGTCATCACCACCACCACCATCACCATCGTCATCGCTACCATCTCCACCACCATTATCACAACCATTACCGCCTTCATCACTATTGTCATTATTATTATAAACATCACTATCATTCCAGTACCACAATCACAACAACCACAACAACTCTTCACCTTCATAACCATTGTCATCGTTGTCATAAGTCCACTATCATTCTACTATCACAATAACCACTATCATTACGTCATTATCGCCACTATCATTTTATCTCTACTACCAGTAGCGGAGCCACATGGGGCTTTGGGGGGTCATGGGTCCCCTCTAGATTTTTGATTTTTTTACATATGTATGTAAATAAAATTTTAAACAAAAATAATATTTATAATAAACTGTCAAGAGTGTTTTTAAATTTATGAAAATAATAGTGATTTTTTTTATTGAAAATGAAGTGACTACAACAAATTATATTTTTATGTATAAAAATTTTATGAAAAAATCTCAATATAAAGGTAATATTCATCATTATTGATATGCAAATATAATTAATCTCACTATATATATGTAAAAATTACTAAGAGTGTTAGTTATATTTGCATGTAGAGTTCACCCTTCATATGTTGCTTTACTATTAGTTGGTGATATCATATGTCAATAATGATGTGATATTACTATCATATCCAATTTTTACTCAAATTTTGTAATAATTTAATTTATCTTACCATTATATAATTTATTTTAAGACTTAAATATATGAATATTTTTACATTGTCCATGATACACTAGTTACATGCAATACTTACTTTTGATTTTACTCGAAATTAATTATAAAATTTTATGTAAAATACTTTTGTAATAATTTATTTAAGTTTTTGTACTTAATATTAATTTAAAAATTATTATTACCTTCTTATTAATATTATTGGTTATGGAAAAAAAAATTAAAGTTATAATCAAAAAGTGCCTATTCTGATTTAATTTTTTGACTGTGTCACTATCTACGACATTACCCCTCCACGATCACTATACTATAACAATTATTTTTCTATCTCCACCACCATTGTCGTTAGTGTTATAAGGACTATTGTTGTCTCCATCTACCCCCACTACCATCAATTTACTATCATAATATAAAATTTTAAAATTCAATATTATACCTATTAAATAATTTATTTTAATTCAACATTAAAAAAATTATTAATTAACTTTTTAACTTAAAAAATTTAGTATTTAAATTTTAGTACTTAACTTTCAATTTTTAACATTTAACTTTTAATTCTATCAAACACTAATTACGATTTCTTATTTATTACGAATATCATGTGGAGGATGTCATATAATATTTTTTAAAACCATCTAATAATATTCTCTGCCTTAAGCTATCTAAACTGCTGACATGAACCAATTGTTGACTGACGACCTGTGGGTCATTTTGGCATGAAAAATGTTAGGAATAAAATTATTAAAAAATTTATCAAATGTGGATATCACAAAAGCTATAAATGAATAGAATCATTCGTAAACAAATTTAAACTTTACTCAGTAAGAGTTCGTTCGAACTCGATTCACTAATTATTATTATTATTATTATTATTATATTTTTTTATTTTTTTTTTGGGTTCAAATTTAAACTCAAACTCGTTTTCTAAAGGGGGTCCAAGTCATTATTCAATTTTTAATAAACAAGTCTAAACATATTAATGCTTAGCTCATTAACTGGCTCGTTTAACATTTATTATTTATATATTAAATAATGTAAAAATATATAAAAAAAATAAGATAAATATGTTATTTATATATTTAAAAAATATAAATATAAATAATAGTTAATTATATATATAATGCATTTATATAATAGTGGTAGTAGATAAAATTATTTTGATAAAATATTAATATTTTTTTAGAATGTTTATATACATTGTAATATAATTATATAATCAAAATTTTAATTGTAACTTAGGGTTGGTTTGGCGTAGCTTAAAAAAGATAAAAAGTCAAAAAATTACTCAAAAAGTTCAAAAATTATCCCTATTCGCATAAAAAAAATTAAAAAATTAATTTTCTCAACAAAAGTACAACTTTGATATCATCTATGCGCAGTTGCTGTGCTGCGGTTGTTGACAAAAATGATATGATTGGGTGTAATTTTAGATGGTTGTTGTTCGGCCCATGGAGGCCATCACGGGTCCCTTTTTGATAATCTAAACCGTTTAATGTGTAAAACTCGTTCAGTATTATGTCTGTAAAAAATCATATTGATCAAATATTGATAACTGCATGATCAAATCAGTTATGTACAACAAATGGATGGTGTTATAATTAACGATTGAAAAAAAACAAATCTGATCAGATAGCTATCGATATCCGATCAACGTGATTTTTTATAGTCATATAGTACTCGACGAGTTCTACACATTAACGGTTCAGATTATCAAAATGGGACCCGTGATGACTCCCATGGGCTGAAACAAAATCGTCTAGTGCAATGCCCGAAAAGTAGCCAATAATTTCTTACTCCCATTTCACTTGTGCAGATTGTACGGCTGTGGCCCACACCTCTCCAATCTTTTCTTACACTCTTCTTTATACAATTTTTTAATACATATTTTTTCATAAAAAGTCAAAAAAGTTAATCCAAACATTTATATTTTTTTCTCAATTTTTTAATTCAAAAAGACAAAAAATGTACTTATTTAGGACACCCCAAACAACCTTATTTACAAATATAAATATATAAATTTTTTGACTGGTTAAGACACATGAATAGGTTCAAACTTTAGTCAAACTTAAGCCAATTCAGTTCGAGTTTGATTCGTTCAATTTTTATTGAATTTAAATTCAAATTCAAATTTATTAAAATCTTAATAAATAAATTTTAAAATATTAAAATTGGACTCGATTCGATTAGTTTATCGGCCTAATATCAAGTGAGTGATTTAGATTGTGTTTAGTTGGGGATTTAAGGATAAATTTGAAAAGGAAGATAGAAAAGATATGTGGAATGTGAATAAAATATATTTATATTTTACCTAGTTTCATACACCTTTTCCCCTTTCCTTTCTAAATTTCTTCCTAAATCTTCAAACTAAACACAACGTTAAGGTAGCGTTTGGTAACATTTACGTTTTTTGTTTATGTTTACAAAAATTTTATAAATTGACTTTTGTTTATTTTTAAAAACATAAACTAAAAAAATATATTTATTTAGGCCTAAAATATTTATATTTATTTTTATTACTTATGACAATGGGATCACACATTATAATTGAAAAAAATTAATTGAAAACAAAGATTAATTGAAAAAAAAATATATGAAAAAAAATTAATAGAAAAAAATTATTTGAAAAAAAAATTTATTTGAAAAATATTATTTGAAAATATTGGTCTTAATTTCATATAGTTGATTATTATTTGCTATTATAAATCCTACCCACACCCCTAGCATAATCTGCGACCAAGGCTTCTTTGACCATAGCAAGGAAAAAAATAGCAAGAAAAGCACTCTCCAAAACCACTTCACCATTCTATTACATTTTCAAAACTCTCACTTAGAGCATCTCCAGCAGCCTATGCATTTCACCAAAAATTGTACAATAGCCAGCCAATAATCATAAATTCCTTCTCCAGCAGCCTAGCTACTGTGAAGCCAAACCAACATTTTGCTACAGTACCTCGCTAGGAAAGACGAGGTACTGTGCACTAGCTCTGAATTTTTTTTATCCTTTTTTAATTCAAACTTTTGTTTTTAAGAATATTTTAATAGAAGATATTTAAATTATAATAATATTTTAACAAAAGATAGTTAAAGTAGATAGCCTGTTGGAGTGTATATTAAAAAACCAACTAGCTAAAATAGTAAAGTAAAATTTTGAATAGCTATTTTGACCATCATTGCTGGAGATGCTCTAACATTGTTATTTTGGCAAGTGTCCCTCATGATGTGGGTCCACGTGGGGGAGGCAAATACTGTACGGCGAAGACTACCTTTTACATGGAGTGGTTGATTGATTAACAAACCAAAAGCGTGTGGACCTGTGTACGAAAAATTATGTAGTAATATTAGCCAAAATTTATCCACTATTCAAAATATCACATTGTAGCATGGTATTTCAGAACAAGGATCCTCTAGAGTGATTTTTTCCTAAAATTTCCTAAAGTGCTACATTGTGTTGTTGAGATTTACTGACAAGTCACATCAATTTTTCTGATGTGACTTGCCAGTAAATCTCAACCACACAATGTAGCACTTTAGGAAACTTTAGGAAAATTTCACTCTAGAGGATCCTTGGTGGGTATTTCAACTCAATAAGATTAATTAAAATTATAAGATCTAATATTTTTTATTATGTTATTAGGAGATAACTTGGTATATATAAATGCCTAATAGTATAGAGCAGTCCCGCTGCATACCCCCAGTGGGGGTCGCGTCCCCAGTGATGTGGCGCGCCCCCACTGGCTGAAAACTCAAAAAAAAAAAAAAAAAAATAGTTTTTTTTTTTTTGGCCAATTCCGGAGTGACACCTCACTGGGGGTCGACCCCCAGTGGGGGTAGGAAGCATTTTTATAGTATAGAGTAATTGTTGACTTATTTTTCTTACGAAAGAAAATATTATAAATGCGAGTGTGTCAGTAACGATTGAAAAATCCTTACAGATTAAATTCAAGTCAATTATCAAGCGATTGCGTTAACGGTTATTTTGCCTCAACAAAGAGGACTTCAAAATTACCAAGTGTAGAGAAAAAAAAAATTAAAAGAAAAATGATGGAGACGGATAAAGACGATTGAGTGAACAATCAAAGAAATAATTACTTACTTCTACTCCTATGCTTCGAAAATGAAGTGCATGAAATGCTTCGAAAAAGAAATATTGAAAATAAATGTTTCAAAATATAAATCTATGTTAAACTACTCATAAGATAAAGAAAATGACAAGAAATATTGAAATCAATTATCTTTGATTTGAATTCTGGATCTTTACAATATAGTCATTAATGACTATTTATAGAGGAAAAAATACAGTAATAACTACTTAGTAACTACTCATTTTTTTCATCTTCATTCTTGTCTTGCCATGTGTCATTCCACTCATCTACTTTGTCCTTTATATTCTCCATCATTTCCATAATTTCTTTTAACTTTCAAATAAATAAGAAGATACTACATGTCTCGAAAATAATAATAATATTTTATGGTGCCAACAATAATGCTCCTGAATCATCCAATAACCTCTCCTGTGGACCCTTAATAGTATAGAGTAATGCTCCTAAATCATCCAATAACCTCTCCTGTGGACCCTTGATTGATGATAACACACCACCACCACCGCACTACGATGGAACGTAAGTCTACCGAACCCGTACCCATAATTCAACCCTAATATGTTGCCTCATAAAACCATGACATTTAGCCTATGTTTGGGAAGTTGAGTTTGAAGATTTTTTTTGTTAAAATAGTCACAAAAAATAAAATAAATTTTTTAGTTTAATAAGATAAAATATCACATTTAATTCATAATTATTATATTTTTTTTCTCATAAAAAAAATTAAAAAAATCGAAAGACTTTCACAAATCAGGCTTTTTAGCCCCAAGCTAAAATATCTAAAAAAGTTAAAAAGTCAAAAAGTCAACCCACTTCCCAAATGATGCCTTATTAGTTATTAGTACCTTTTATTTTAGCATCCAAATTTATATTTTGTTATATTAAGATTTCTTTTGTCAACATTACTTTTTAATTTAAAAGTTAAAAAGTCATTAAAAAAATTAAAAAGCCAACAACTTATATCAAAAAGTCAAAAAATCTCTTTTCTCTATAGTTTTTGCACATTTTTTTCATAAAAAATCAAAAAGTCATCCAAAATATGCTAATTTTTTTATATTATATTTTAGTCAAAAAGTTAAAAAATTACTAAAAAAAATATATTCCCAAACGAGATCTAAAGAATGGAAAAATTTTATACAACCCTACATAAAATTATATAGGTTTTTCAAATTTACATAACTTATTTTATAAAAATAAGTAAATTCAATACAAATTCACGAAACCACATAAGTGTTTATGAATTTATGTAAATTTGTATTTAATTTGTGCATTTTTTGTGATCACTTATATAAATTCGTGAAAATTTATATAATTTTATGTATGATTGTATTACACACAGGGGCATTTCCCACTAAAAATTTTCTAATGATAGGATTAAAAACTTGTTATTGTAAAAATAATAATAGTAATAATAAAGGTAAATTACACTTTGCACCTTTTGATTTGATAATTTTCTCATTTTGGTTTTAATTTTTTTTTCTTTAACTTCAACCGTTTTAAGTTTTTCTCAATTTATTTTTAAAATTAACTTCTTTTTTGAGTGAATTAATAAAACTAACTTATGTTCATAATTAGACAGAAAATATCACATTAACTGTTATATGACATAAATATATATTATTATATTAAGGTTTGGATTTGCATTAGGTGTGAGTTATACATAATAATATTTTTTTATGTCATGTGGCTGTTAATGTATTATTTTCTGTCTAGTTTTGGACATAAGTTAATTTTTGGCAAAAATTGAGAATAACTTGAAATATGAAGAGCTAAAGTGAAAAATAAATAAATTTTAAGGGCCAAAATAAAAAATTATCAAATATAAAAGAGACAAAGTGTAATTTACCCTGATAATAATGCTTATATATTAAGCTTGACACAAAATTTAATTATAGCTAAAAATTGACAAATTTCTTAATTTATACCTTTCTCATAATAGATATGGCTATAAAAATGAATCAGTTGCTAAAGATCCACTCGTGTTTATCTTATTAAAAATTAATTTGAGTAAATAAATCAAATTTAATTAATACATTTTAAAAATTGTTAAAAATTTAAATTAAATTTCAATGGCCTATTACTCCACTCAATTATCAGGAGCGAAGTCGAGATTTCACCATGGAAGGGCTGTGATATTCACTCGTGAAACAGTGTTTCACCTAGAAAATGGAATCTTTGTTACAAATTAATCATCAATGAGATTGTATTATATTTGAATAATAAATTTAGATAGAAATTTTTTTAAAAAAAAAAGAGAGGTAAAATATAATTATATTTTATTTATATATATATATTTTTATTTTTTTTAATTTTAAATCCCTACTCACTCCGAAAACAGCGGAAGAGAAACAAGGAAGATGGTTTTGACAAAAGCAAGATAGTTAGTGGATGGCTTGTCCACACATGCATGAGAACAGTACTGGAACACCTCCTCCATAACCATTACCATGCTCATCAGAGCCAAACCATGGACTAGAATGAGGAGGAGGAGCTATGCTGCCATTAACAAACAGAGAGTTTTGTTCACCATCAAGCTGAGCCAGTACTGCAACCTCATCCTCAGGTCCATAGATGAGAGGGCTATTATGGCTCCTTCTATGTTCATTAGCAGCCATTCTCTCAACTGCAAGAAAGTGCCCAAGTGATGGAGTATTGTTGTTGTTGTTGACAGTCTCAGCATCTGTAGTGTCCCTTGGGCACAGAGAGATACACCAATTAGGTTTGAACCTGTAGGTCTTCTTGTTGTTGTTGTTGGCTTCTGAAACTTGTGGTCTCCTCCTCATAATTGATGTTGTTCTATTTCTAGTTCTAGTTCTAGTTCTAGAGAGATCTACAATGCTAGAAACACCCAATAAGCTCCCAAGAGTTATGCTCTTCTCATGGAAGAATGACCCTGTTGACTGAAAACCAATCATAGTGTAATCAAAGCAGAGATTCAACTTAAGCAACCACTTTTATACTAATTAATTTGCGAGTTCATATTTAAATTTTTTTTTCTTTTGAGAATTTAATAATAACATCTTGCATATAGAGTGCATTGGTGGTAGGATAGGATAAATAAAGCAAATGAATAGTACATACAATAAGTTCAAGCAATTAGGAATAAATATGATAATCAAAGGTACATAAATCAAAACTAAAAAGAACATGCAATCTGTGTTTAGTGCAAGTACACGTATCGCGAGCAGTACATGCATCGGACGCATGTTACACTTGCCCCAAACACAATTTTTCCACTAATATATAATTTTTTGTTCCTTCTATATTTTTGCAATTTTTTTTTACTTACCTCTCTATCCAAATCTGATGTAGAATCAGAAGAGGAAGTAGGAGGAGAAGCACTGAGAAAAGTGTGGAAAGATGCTGATCCAAAAAACCCACTGTTTCTGACCAAACCACCAACTCTCTCATTCAGTGGCTGCAGCAAACCCAATGGCCATCCCTCTTCCTGCTTCAATCAAATCACTCTCATCTCAATTTCAGTGATTTCAATTTCAAACTCAACAACAACAACAATGTCATAAAACAGTGTAAATTATCACAAAAAAACACTGAGTGACCAACAAAACAATTTTGAGTCAGACAAACAAGTAGTACCTGTCGAGCCATAGCAAGTATTCTCAGATTTCAAATAGAGAAATAGAGAGCTGTCATTTCCATAGTATTCTCTCTACTGCTAAACAATAGGAGTGCTGAGAAGATGAACATGTAAATCTGTATGGAACATGGTGGATGTTTTATATGCTATCGAAGAAGAAGGGCACACTTGAAAGAGTGAGAGAGAGTCAAAAAGAGTGATCAATGACAAGAGGTCTTGTCATTCCTAAGCCACTTTATCTGCTTTTTTTATTACTTTGGTTTTGTTGATGGGAAAGAAGAAACATAATAATTATGTATATATATGTGTTGTATATATTAATAAAGCAAAGGGCATTAACCACCCAAAAAAAAAAAAAAAAGCAAAGACAAATTCAAGTTGTCTTTTTTATAATGACAGTTTTGCCTTCTTACAATTTTTTTTGTGGTTGCTATGTGTTGACAAATGAATTTTATCATTTTTAGTTTGATATATGGTGGGTGTTTGAAAAATTGTTATTTTAGTAGGTTATTTTAGGTTTTAATTATTTTAATAGGTTAAAATTTTTATATTTGAGAAGATTATTAGATTTTTTTATAATTGGATGTAATGTTTGTGAGAGAAAAAATGAAATAATTATGAATTTGATGTGTCATTTTATCTTATTGACTATTTTAACTTATTTTGTCTTTTTGTGAATTTTAGCCTAAAAGAGACTAAAATTCTTCTTGCCAAACACCAATATAGATTTACAAAATTAAATGTTATGCATACATATAACACTTATCATATTTAAAGAATAAGAAAATATAAAATTGTAGATAAATAATTGAAATGCAGTAACAATGAAAAATAATGTAGGGTTTCATTATTTTCTAGATGTGGTAAATTTTATGAATAGAAAATAGAAAAACCAAGAAAACTTTTCATTTTCAATACAAAGAGATGTGTGAAATGTCATATTGTGCACTTGCCCTCAATTTCTAATTTAATTATTTGTTATGGTAAGGGTAAGGGTAAGGGTAAGGGTAAGGGGTCCTTAATTTAGGTGTATCTCTAAATCTAATGAATTACAAATGAGGCCTGCTTCTTCCAATGTGAGGGCCAGAGGGGGGAAGAGAGGGATCCAATGAAGGGTAAAGAAGAGTAACGCTTTTTTTTGCTTTGGTGTATGCCAATAAGCTTATTACAAAAAGTCTTCCCTTCTAATTGATTGCACCTTTTACTTTGGTCCACAGGTCCTTCTCATCTCTTTACCACATATATATATATATATATATTTTGGACAATTAAGAAAAGTTCCGCAGGTTCTTCTCATCTCTTTACCATATATATATATATATATATATTTGGACAATTAAGAAAAAAAAAAAAAAAATCAAAGTTCTAGCCTTTTAACAAAATAAAGAAAAAATTAGTGAAATTTTCCTCTCTACTTTTATGTAATATGAGGTTTAAGATTTTTTTTAGATAAATTACAAATACACCTCCTGAAATTTGATTAAAATACAAATCTCCCCTGTAGTTTTGAAAATTACATTCCACCTCTGAGGTTTTTGATTTCATAACAAATCGTCTATTTTATTAATAAATCATAAACTCAATTAACAGTTTTAATGATGTTAAAAATATGTTTTAATTAATAATTTAGCTAATTTTATTATTGTATAGAGAGTAATTATGAATTTCATATTTTTAGTTAATTCTGTTAAATAAAAAATTCAAATAAGAGGGTATTTGTAATTTTTTATACCACGGAAAACAATCTGTATTTTAAGCAAATCCTAAGAGTGTATTTGTAATTCACCTTTTTTTTTATTAACTAATGTCTCCCAATATTTTTACAGAAAATTTGACTCAGAGAAATTTGACTCGACTTAGAGAAATTTCAATTTTCATAGAAAAAATTGAAATTTCTTTGAGTCGGGGTTTAATTTCTCTGAATCAAATTTTTTTTGTAAAAATATTGATAGACCTTAACAATTATAAAAATATTATATATCGTTTATTTTATAAAATCTTAATATAAAATATTTTAAATTTTTTTGTCCTTATTATTATATTATTATTTTTTGTAAAACATCCTGGGATTATGCTATCTCGTTTCCATATGGTCCCTCAGATGAATGGGGCCCGACCTTTTCAACCAGACGCCCCACATGATCTTGCGATAGTGGATATGATGAGCTGTTCCTATCCACACGATCTACCGTCACAACATTTACATGCAACATAATAATGTAGGGCATGTATTGTTTTTTAGGATAAATTACACCCACCCCCTCTGAGGTTACTGATTAGTACAGATTCCTCTCTTCTATTTAAAAAATTACATTTTCTTTCTTAAGGTTTATATTTTCATTATAAATAATATTTTAAATTATCAATATCAAACTTTAAAATTTTCCAAATCATCATCTTGTCATTTTTCCTATCATTTCTTCTTTCTATCATTATAATTATATTCTACAATTTTTTATCATTAAATTTTATATGAACATATTCTTATTAAGTGATAATATACAACCATAAATTTTATATTGAATTTTCAAATACGATGATACAGCATAATAGTGATCTTTCACTTTAAAATAAAATACTCATAAACATGATTTATATTTATAACAATATCACTATTACAATATTTTTATGATATTTTTTATGTATGAATATAATTTTTTTTTATTTCCACCATTACATCTAGATTAGATCAATTTAATCTAAATATATTTAGAAAATATAAAATTTGTACAAAAAAACTTTTAAAAAAAAAAAACGTTGAATACAACAAAATAAGGTAATGTATTGAATTTTTATTTTTTTGTATTTGGTGAATTTAAAAAAAATCAAAATATTATATTTCTTAAGTATATCTAGATTAGGTGTATCTTAAAAAAAAATTATTTAAAATATTAAAAAATTAAGTAAAAATAAAAAAATACAAAAAATAAAAAAGATGATTGTTTTTTTCCTTGAAATGATATGAAGAAAATATTTGTATTATTTTATTATTTTATATGTATAAAGGTTAAGAAATAAATATGTCATTTTAATTTGATAAAGGAGTAAGTCTAATTTTTCAAATGTGAGGAATGATCTGTATTAAACAGAAATCTCAGAGGTGTTAGTGTAATTTATCCATTTATTTATTTATTTTAGAGTTTATGTCAAATAATTTAGGATTAAGTTTTTGAGAGAATTTGATTGGCATGTGAGGTTTTCATGAATTCCGTTTCAATAATTCAAAATATTTATTTTATATCATTTTTTGGTATATATTATTTATGAAAAAAATATTAAATTAATCCAATAATAATCATGATTTTTTTATTTTATCAGATTTGTCTTCAAATTGACAGTCACCTAACTCACAATTATTGAATTCACACAACTTTCATATCATTTAGTTAAGCCTTGAGCTAATCCACCTAGTTCTGAATTCCTTTGCAAAATCTTCAAGGATAAGTTCCCCTCTCTCTTTAGATTCAGCTCACTCTCTCTCTAGAGTGTATATCTCAGATTTTTGAGCTGAAACAACCATAAGCTTGAGTGTAATTAGCCTATATATACTAGGTGGTTAGCTTAGTTGATCAATTTCAATTAAGGCTAATGAGCTTTACTCAATTTAATCTAATTATTTTGATACGAATCAATTTTTAATCAAATTTCACCATAGGCTCTAAAAATCACGCTAATCACAATGGTACAAACAATTTCAGTTTTAGTAACCTCTACGGTCTTCAATTTTCAATTTATAGCAGTAAGTTGAATAGATTTTCCTACGGTGAACAGATAGAAATTCAAATATATATATATATTAAAAATTTACAAAATATTTATATGAGTATAAATCTTATGTGGTGTGGATTTCACACCAATGTGGGTATTGTATAAATTTTTTTAATAATATTTTTTTTAAATAATTAAACACACAAATTAAAAGACTTGCCAATCAGACGTCTCTTGGGGAAGTAGTTGCTTCAGACTTGCCTCATCACCTTGTATCGTTTTCCTTATTAGTTGATATAGCCATTTGCCTCACGAGAAATGTGGCTTATATGACACTCCCAATCTCCATCCAAGTAGAGGACAATTTTGAGAATATAGTTATAATCAGCTTTTTAGTTAAAAGTTATTTATAAGCAATTTTTTTGTGAGAGGGGAAGTGGGTTATAATCTCGAAAGTGGATTATAACCCACTCCCCAAAAGGGTTAGAATTAGGTTGTGATATCTAATATTACTCATTGGATTGCAGTGGATATGAATTTCCAATTGCAAGGAATCAGACTGTAAGAGTTAATAACGCTGTATTTGTTCAGTGTGTTATTAAACATTTTTTAAATAGTTAATATTCCATTTAATGTAATTCTAGTGATATTTATAATTTATATTCTATGTACCGATTGACAAAAATAAAATAAAAAGAGTAATATTAAAGTTCCCAAAATTTTTACCAAATGTCTCACATGAGTGTGGGATCCATACTATGTGGGTCTCATGTGGGTCCTACACTCATGTGAGACATTTGATAAAACTTTTGAAGTATCTAACATTTTTGAAAAAAAAAAATTAAGATGATTGATTGAACAATAAAAGGTTTGCTATTAACATATCAGTGGCGTAGATTCAAGTTACAAAAACTTTTTCAAAAAATGAGAATAATATTACATGTCTTGTTATTCACAAATCTTGACTTAACACCTTAAGACCATCTCCAACGGTGAACCAAAATTGATATCAGATTTAAATTTTGATGAAAAATATACTTTTCCATGCTCCAACCGTTGCATCAAATGAATATCAAAATGAGAAATCAGCAAAAAAATATCATATATATATATATATATATTTTTTACAACCAATCATATTCAACCAGTGTTTGGAAAGTAAGTTTTTATGTAAGTTTTTTTAATTGTAAAATATTATTAGAGAAATTTTTTTTATGTTTGGAAAGATAGTTGGGTTTTTTTGTAGTTGGATGTGATATTTGTGAGAGAAAAAGTGAAATGATTATGGGGTTGAATGTAATATTTTGTTTGAATGTATTTTTTTGGTTTTAAAAAGGAAAAAAAAAAAAAAAAAAAAAATTGCCCAAACCGGTCGACCGGTTGGTCGACCAACCGGCCGGTCGACCACCCGGTCGACCACCTCCCTAATTTTGCTTTGATGCTCACCGTTGGAGCGCCTCGTATCAAATTGAAAAAATCGTCATTTTT